ATCTGATACCGCCAGCGGCCCTGCTGCTGGTTCTGCTGGTGGTGGTGGTGCTGCTGCTGCTGCTGCTGCTGCTGCTGCTCCTCCTCCTCCTCCTCCTCCTCCTCCTCCTCCTCCTCCTCCTCCTCCTCCTCCTCCTCCTCCTCCTCCTCCTCCTCCTCCCCCTCGCGGGCATCAGATTTTGATGCTGGGGCCGTTGCGGCATCATATTTGGATGCCATGGGCCCCGGGCGGCCGCCCGCGGCATCAGATTTCGATACCTGCAGGGCTGCTATCGGATTTTGATTTTGACGACTGGGCCGTCGCGGCAACAGATTTTTGATACCAGGGCGCCCCCACGGCATCAGATTTTTGATGCCGGGGCCCCTGGCGGCTTCAGATTTCGATGCGGGGGCCCCCGGCCGCATCAGATTTTGATGCCAGGGCCCCTGGCGGCATCAGATTTCGATGCCGGGGCCCTTGGCGGCATCAGATTTTGGTGCTGGGGCCCCTTGGCGGCATCAGATTTTGATGCTGGGGCCCCTAGTGGCCTCAGATTTTGATGCGGGGGCCTCTGGCTGCATCAGATTTCGATGCCGGGGACCCTGGCGGCATCAGATTTTGATGCTGGGGCCCCTGTCGGCATCAACTTATGATGCTGGGGCACCCGGCGGCATCAGATTTTGATGCCGGGGCGCCCGGCGGCATCAGATTTCGATGCCAATCAGATTTTGATGCCGCCGCCCCCTGCGGCATCAGATTTCGATGCCGGGGCCCCTGGCGGCATCAGATTTTCCCATGGCGGCATCAGATTTTGATGCCGGGGTCCTTGGCGGCCTCAGATTTTGATGCGGGGGCCCCCAGCGGCATCAGATTTTGTTGCCGGGGCCCCTGGTGGCATCAGATTTTGATGCCACGGCCCCGGGCGGCATCAGATTTCGATGCCAAGGGCTTCTTGCCGGGCATCAGATTTTGATGCCGGGGTCCTTGGCGGCCTCAGATTTTGATGCGGGGGCCCCCAGCGGCATCAGATTTTGATGCCGGGGCCCCTGGCGGCCTCAGATTTTGATGCCACGCCCTCGGCGGCATCAAATTTTGATGCCTGGGCCCCTGGCGGCATCAGATTTTGATGCCCGGGGCCCCTTGGCGGCATCATATTTCGATGTTGAGGCCCCTGGGCGGCATCAGATGTTGATGCTGGGGTCCCTGGCGGCATCAGATTTTGATGCGGGGGCCCCCGGCGGCATCAAATTTTGACGCCGGGGCGTCCGCCGCGTCAGATTTCGATGCCAAGGGCTTCTGGCGACATCAGATTTCGATGCCAGGGCCGCTGGCGGCATCAGATTGCAGCTAGCAGGCGACACGCCTAGGAAGCAAGCGAGCAGGTCTTCATCACCCCTCATTTGCAATTCGCAGGAGGAATTTGAACTGAGCGGAATTAAAATTAGAGGATTAGAAGTGAGTTCTCTAAAACAACACATTACGTTGTAATGCTGAAGTCCCTGCGGTACCATTTCATCGTTCGTGGCTTACTTCCCCCTGCAATGTTGCGCACAAATCTAAAAGGTTCTTTGCTGAAGTGCTCGGAGCCCTGCGGCGTCGTTCCGTCGTTCGTGGGATGCTTATGTTCCTATGGGTGTGCACTTTCTGTTGCAGAGTTCAACGCCAAGCGGTGCCGTCCGTCGTTGGGGAACTGCCCAGTTCCCCAGTGGCGTGTCAGACTAAACAGAACTTTCGGCTGCAGCTCTCAAAGCTCCGTGGTGCCGTTCCGTCTTTCGGGGGTTGTCCAGTTCCACCAGGGTGTGCATGATTCCGATTCTAAACAGATGCTGCACTGCAGTGCTCAACGCGCTGCCGTGACGTTACGTCGTTTGGGGATGCTTCAGTGCTTGTGGGGTGCGCCAGATTCTAAACAGAGCGTGGTGTTGCAGTGCTCGAGGCTCTGCGAGGCCGTTCCGTCGTTCGGGGGTTGTGAAATTGCGTCGTGGGTGCGCCCGACTCTAAGCAGAACTTGCTGCTGCTGTGCTCAACGCCCCTGCGGTGCCGTTCCGTCGGTCGGAGGTTGTTCAGTTCTTGACGGCCGCGTGCAATTTCGAGCAGCTTGTTTTGCTTCAGTGCTCAGCGGCCTGCGGTGCTGTTGCGTCGTTCGGGAATCGCCCATTTCTCAGGAGGAAAAGAAACACACAGACACAATTAACCCTCGATTCCCCAGAAAATATGGGAAAAAATATGGGAAGTGGGGGGGAAGACAGAAACCCAGAAAATATGTGAAAATACGGGAGATCCTTTTATTTGTGTGTGTATGTGTGTGTCCTTGGGCCCCTTGAATTTCTCCCAGGGGCGTGCGCAATTCTAAACAGAGCTTTTTTTGTTTGCAGTTCTGAGCTCCACGCGGTGCCGTTCCGTCGTTCGGTGGCTACCCATTCCACCAAGGGTGTGCCAGATTCTAAACAGAAAACTGCGTTGCAGTGCTCAAGGCTCTGCGGTGCCGTTCTGCCGTTCTTGGGGTGTCCATTTCCCCCGGGGGGGGGGCGCGATTCCGATTTAAACACACACGTTGTAATGCAATGGTCGACCCCTTCTTGCTGTGCCGTTCCGTCGTTTGGGGATTATTGAGTGCCTCAGGGGTGCGCACGATTCTAACAACAGAGATCTGTGGTGTGCTGCAATGCTCAGGCTTCTACGGTGCCGTTCCGTTTGTGAGGGGGCTGTCCATATCCCTTCGGGTGCCCACGACTCTGAATTGAATTTTCTGCTGCGGTGCTGAATGCCCTTGCGGTGCTGTTCCGTCATTCGGGGGTTGTCCAGTTCCCCAGTGGTGAGCAAGATTCTAAACCTCCAAACATAATGTTTTGCCTCGGTGCTCAGTGATCTGCGGTGATGTTCCGTCGGTCGAGGATTTTCCATTTCCGCAGGGGCGTGCGCGTGTCTAAACAAAACTTGCTGCTACAGTGCTCAAGGCTCTGCGGTGCCATCCCGTCGTCCGGTTCACGGGTCTGTCTTGGAGTCGTCTTGGGATCGATGGAATGCCAATGTTCGACGTTCAATCGTGCCCGTCTGGATTTTATGATCGTCGGGTTGTCCAGGATTCGTTTCTCGTGTGGACGAGCGCGCTGGTCCTCCGCATGTGCACTGGGCGTGTGAAGTTCGCACTTTGCCCTGTGGCTCGGCGTCGCGTGTGGCTGCTTGATCTGTTGTGGCTTCCCACTGTGTGCCCGCTCCACTGGCCGTGTACCTCGCGGTGCCTTGCGGATGGCTTCCGACGGCCACCACCGCTTCTCCACGTCAGGGCTGCATGCCCTGGTGGCCTGGCGTCCTGTGGGTCTGGCCGTCTGGCCCGGCGTCCTGGGGGTCTGGCCCCGGCGTCCGGGGGTCTGGCCCTATGACTTCGGTATGGCATGCCTCGCCTCGATTTCTTGGCGCCCCATGGCCTGGTCTCATCTGGTTTTACACAGCGGGTGCCACACTCATGGCTGCAGTAATTCAGTGTTTGGGTTCCACGCGCTGACATCCTTACATTGCTTCCGTGCCTGCTCGCATCTTGACCAGATTCCCCAACTAGTGTCGGGCGACGAAATCTATACATATCCACTGCTCCCTGACCATGCCCATCTTGAACCCAGGAGCTGTGTATGCGCCCTCCTGGCCAAGCCAGGAGGGCGTGGCGTATACACCGCTGCGGGGTTGAGGATGGGCCTGGCCAGGGAGCAGTGGATATGTATAGATTTCGTCGCCCTATAGTGCTTGCACTTAGTGGTGCCTCTTTTGCTTGCCACGGAGTCGGAAGGGTGTGGCGCGGTTCCGCCTGGTGCCCGGTCGTTGCCTGGTCGTGGGCGCCTCGTGTCCGCCTCGTGCGCTGGGTACACCTTAGGCGATGCTTAAGAAAACTTAAGTTTTCGGCCAGAGTCTCGATTATTCTTAACGTTTCCATGTAAATCTTAAGATTTTGGTAGAAATGTTGGATTGTTGTTCAAGTTCTGAGACTGTGAATTTCTTAACCCATGATTTCTTAAGCATTTCGCAGGGTGTAGGCGTAACGGGATGTCGCTTGCTGTTTGATTGGTTGACGGTCGTTGGCGCCTCGTGGACACCCATGCACATAGCTAACAGCACACACATTGCAACACATTCGTAGTTTACGCCGCAAGGTCTGCACTGCACTGCGTCGCACAGCTTACACGTCCAGAGTGCCATAGCTCGCTGTTTGGAGCCCGTGCTGGTAAACGTAGTCACAGGCCTACATGTATCCCAGCTTCCTGCTTTGACCTCGAGCGCCGCTTATGTGTACACACGTTTCAGTACCTGAGCTCGCCTATCGCAAGCCCGGCCTTGCGGTGTTCCAGGTTCCCCTTCAGAAATAACGCTCGTCATGCGTTGGTGTATGTATTATTGGGCCTATTATTGTTTGTGGTCGCTGCCCGTCGTCGAGGTGCCTCCTTGATGGCGGCAATACCACTGCCTCATGGGCGGTTTGTTCCACCAGTACCATCATCATTATCAGCAACAGCAACAGCAGCATCGGCATCAGCATTAACATCAACATCATCATCGCCATCATCATCATCCTCATCATCATCATCATCATCATCATCATCATCATCATCATCATCATCATCATCATCATCCGCATCAACATCATTAGCATCAGCATCAGCAGCAGCATCATTATATCATTCCAGCATCATAAGCACCAATATCAGCAGCATCAACATCATCCTCATCCTCATCTTGATCATCACATCATTATCGTCGTCAGCATCGCGCGCTGTGCAAAACACCTGGCAAGGGGCTCAAACGAAGACAAGGAGCTGTGCCAACTTCCGCACACACGTGGGGCATCTCTAGCCGGCGCCAGCGGCGATGGACCAATGTCGCCTTGAAGTGCGGGCGATATCTGACATGGTAGACGAGGACTACGACTCCGAGGCAGCATTGGGGCGCAAGTCTCCCCAGGCGATCGTGCGCTTGGTATCGCGCGCTTCTCACCAAGAGCTTCCTTACAGGATGAGCGCGTTGGCCCAGTGATGTGCTTGCACCCAAGCGCTGGCGTCGATCTTCTCGGGAGATCCACGCCCGGTGGTGCTTTTCCAGTTCTGAACACGAATTACCCGCAGACTCGCAAGAGGTCGGGGCGTTCCCCCGGCATGACAATTGGGCGCCACGTCGACGAGGTCGTCGTGAAGAGAGCTCGGAGCCTGGCGCGTGGCATGGTGGCCGAGCGCATGGAGCCGCGGGCCATCGAAAGGGCCACCGAAAGGGCCGAAGGTTGGCAACGTTTACGTCTTTTACGGAGGCCGCATTCCTCCAGCGGTGCGCGGGCGGGTGGGATCAGGTTAGCGTGTTGCCAAAACCGTCCGTGGCCAAAGGTGCCCCTATCTTTTCGAGCGATTGTGGTGCCCTCGGGGCCCGCTGGGCCTCGCGAGTTGTACTCTGGACGACGCGGGGGCCTCCCTGGAATTCCTGGGGACACCTTGGGCCAGGGACACCCTGAGCAACTCCCGACAGGTGAGGCCCAACGAGCTGCATGATGTGGCAGGGCACGCCCGTGACTTTGGAGGATGCGTACCGGTTCTTGAAGATGGTGGGCGGTCGCTCTGGGACCAGATCACCGGCCACGCGCGATCTTTCGGGTATAGCCAGGACCCCGGGTAAGGGGACCCGGTTGGTGGCAGGGCCCTGGGGCCCTTCAGTTGGCCAGATTCATGAAACCAGGTTTGCCGTCACTGGTGTTTTCGGGTGGCGGCAGCTCTGGTTCGTGGAAAAATGGGGCGGGGGGCGCCCCCGGTACAAATCGCGAAACCAGGTTCCACGAAACCCAGTTCTGCCAACGCCCGAATCTTGGATTGCCAAAAAACCCGGATTGCAAAAAAAACGTGTTTTTGTCGCAATCCTTTTTTTTGTTGCAATCCTTCGGATTGCAATTTTGTTTTTTGTTGCAATCCTTTGCAATCCGGTTTTTTTTTTGCAATCCTGGTTTTTTTGGGGGGGGAATCCTTCGATGGCGCCCAGGGGGCCCCGTGCGACGGCGATGTGCGGTGGGCAGGTCGCCGACGGGAGCCTTGCGCGGAGACGGGAGGGCACGTGCGCTGCCGAGCCGGCAAGCGGGGACGGCCAGAACTTGGCCGTTGACGCGGCGTCCGAGTGCAGTGAGCTTCGGAGCGCGCAATGTATCAGGCGATTCTTTCGGCTGACCGTTGTGATTTTGGTGAACGAGCAACACACCCATACCCATAGGGGGTCGTTGAGAGGAGGACTGGCTATGGGTATGGGTGCGGGTTGTCGGACCCTGGGGAACGCTCCCGTTCGGGCGGGGACCCCCATCCGACAACACGCACCCATAGCCCTCTCCGACCCGCCTATGGTTATGGGTGTGTGTTGTTGGTTCGTCAATTTGGGGGAATTTATAGGGGACGTCGAATTGCGGCCCAGGCGTGGGGCGTGGCATGGTGTTCCATTGTCACGGCGTTGGTGCAGAGTTTTTGTTTTGCGACGCTGTCGTCGCCCCCTCTCTGCTCCGATTCTCGCCAGTTGTTTCCCCAATGGTATCAGCATTGGTGCCGGCGGTCCTGCCCCCCCCCCTCCTCCAGGCGAGAATTTCGATCGATTCTGGCGATGTTTTGAGATTGGCGGATATTTTACAATGCGTCCGCGATTGGTGTATATTTCCCAACCCTCCTTGGTTGGGTATTCTTTTTGAATAAAGCACCGTGGTCGCGTCCTTCTCCCGCCTCCCGCCTCCCGCCTCCCTCTTGTCTCCTCTCGCCGTGTGGGTTGAGGCACCGCGCAGATTTGAGCGAGGCCTCTCCCTCCCTGGGGGGCTGCGATCTGCGAAACTGTCGCCACTTTCGAAGGCTGATGGGGAGGCCAGCAGAAAGGGGAACTCACCACGGACCCAAACAGGACCTCGCCGTCCCTGGGGGGCTGCGATCTGCGACACTGTCGCCACTGTCGAGGGCTGTTGGGGAGGCCAGCAGAGAGGGCATTCACCGCGGACCCAAACGGGACCTCGCCGTCCCTGGGGGGCTGCGATCTGCGAAATCGTCGCCACTTTCGAGGGCTGCTGGGGAGGCCAGCAGAGAGGGCACTCACCGCGGACCCAAACGGAACCTCGCCGTCCCTGGGTGGCTGCGATCTGCGAAACCGTCGCCACTTTCGAGGGCTGTTGGGGAGGCCAGCAGAGAGGGCATTCACCGCGGACCCAAACGGATCCTCGCCGTCCCTGGGGGGCTGCGATCTGCGAAACTGTCGCCACTTTCGAGGGCTGCTGGGGAGGCCAGCAGAGAGGGCACCCTCCGCGGACCCAAACGGGACCTCGCCATCCCTGGGGGGCTGCGACCTGTCAAGATTTTGCCACTTTCGAGGGCTGCTGGGGAGGCCAGCAGAGAGGGCACTCACCGCGGACCCAAACGGGACCTCGCCGTCCCTGGGTGGCTGCGATCTGCGAAACCGTCGCCACTTTCGAAGACTGCTGGGGAGGCAAGCAGAGAGGGCACTCACCGCGGATCCAAACATGACCTCGCCATCCCTGGGGGGCTGCGACCAGTGAAACTGTCGCCACTTTCGAGCGCTGTTGGGGTGGCCGGCAGAGAGGGTACTCACTGCGGATCCAAACAAGACCTCGCCATCCCTGGGGGGCTGCGATGTATGCAATTGTCGCCACTTTCGAGGGCTGCTGGGGAGGCCAGCAGAGAGGGCACTCACCGCGGATCCGAACAGGACCTCACCATCCTTGGGGGGCTGCGATCTGTGAAACTGTCGCCACTTTCGAGGGCTGCTGGGGAGGCCAACGGAGAGGGCACTCACCGCGGATCCAAACAAGACCTCGCCATCCCTGGGTGGCTGCGATTTGCGAAACCGTCGCCACTTTCGAAGACTGCTGGGGAGGCAAGCAGAGAGGGCACCCACCGCGGATCCAAACAGGACCTCGCCGTCCCTGGGGGGCTGCGATCTGTGAAACCGTCGCCACTTTCGATGGGCTGCTGGGGAGGCCAGCAGAGAGGGTATCCACCGCGGATCCAAACAGGACCTCGCCATCCCTGGGGGGCTGCGATCTGCGAAACGGTCGCCACTTTCGAGGGCTGCTGGGGAGGCCAGCAGAGAGTCAGAGGGTAAATAACCTCCCCCGCTTTCGCTTCCAGACAAAACCAAGTCATACCACGTGCCCCCTAGTCAAGCAGCCTGCGCTTCACAACGCCATTATCGGTCGTGTCCTCGCTCCGCTCCCCTCTGCCCCACCTCAAAGCTCTCGCGGCAAGCGTCGGTGCCCATCCTCTTCGATGCATGAAACCCCTCGCAGCGTCGCGCAGCCAGCGTCTTGGGAGCCGACGCCCAGCCAGCGGGTTCATGAGTGCATTGCAGATGTCGACTTTGTTGCATCACCTCAGCTTTGCGTGTCTTTTTGAAACGCGGGCGGGATGTGATGTTTGTTTCCGAGCTTATTTCTCTGACGGGCCCCGAGATTTGTCATTGTTTTTGCTGGGGGGTGGGCGCCTGCTTGGCCGAAAGATTTACTTGCTGGCCGATTGTCTGACTGGCCGGCTGGTTGGCAGATCGATATATCGACAGATTCGTTGTCAGGTTGCGCCTGAAAGTGGTCCGTCATTGGTTTCGGCGGCCAGCCGCCCCACTTAAATGGCAGCCAGTGGCAGACCGCTTCGGGCCTCGGCGGCATAATGCGCGCCCTATGGTGCGTTCCGCGGCGCGACCCAGACCGCAGCGCGCAGCGCGCCCTTCGACGCAACCAACGGCGCAAACTACGGTTCCGATTCAGGCGCAAATCATGGGCTGCGCAATTTCTGGAGCAACTCATGGCGCAATTAGAGGCGCAAAAGATCGCGCGGCACTGGCGCAACATTTGCCGCAGCAAGCAATTTTGCAACCTTTGCGGAAATTCGCGTTGCGACCAGTGGGCGGCGCAACCCGCGGCGCAAGCCCTGGCGCGACCAATGGCGCAGCCCATCGCTCAAGCCGCTGCGCGACCCGTGGCGAAACCGATGGGTTGCGAGAAGAATTGCTCAACCCATGGCGCAAGCAATGACGCGATCCCTGCGCGGCGCAACCCGCGGCGAGTCTGATTGCGCAACATCTGGCGCAGCTCGCGCGGCAACCCGCGCCCTGCCTCACGGCGCAAGCACTGGCGCAACACGCGGCGCAATCCAGGACCCAATATGCACGCATCCGTTTGCCCAGAGCGGTTGGTCCGTGCTGCGCGCGCGGGGGCGCGCCCGATTGGCGCTCCCTACTTAGGCGTGTTGCGGGCCCCGCGCGGCGAGCTGTCTTGTGAATGCTGGGCGTCGAAACTGCAGCCACGTGTGGCGGCGGGTTCATATTCTTTCATTCCCTTGGGCGGCACTGGCGCTGAGGGGTCGTTGCTGTCAGCACTTATGATACTTATGGGATTCGGAGGGTATGCCAGTTTCTCGGCTGTCGGCCATCCGCAGGCGCCAGTTGGCGCTTCGTGAGAGCCTCGCGCTATGCCCTTGTATTTTGGGAGTTATGTTCGCATCCGTCCGCGGGCGCTTGCGGGCGCTTCGCGGGCGCCTAGTGCGTCGGTTGGGTTTTCTGGGCATTGGGCCGGTGGCCGCCCGCTAGTCTCCGCGAGCGCCTCGCAGGCTCATCGCGCGCTGGTTGCACCTAGCTTGCACCCCAAAGTTTCTACCGCATAGCGCGCTGCAGAAATTGCATCGCGCGCGTGGCCCCTAGCAGATTGCGCCGCGCAGCTTGTGCCGCATGGACTACGACATAGTGATTCCTCTACACGGCTGGCGCGACGTAGTCTGCATTGCGCGCATTTCGCCTTGTAGCGCGCGCCACGACACTTGCGTGACATACCTCCTCTTGCGTAAGGGGACTCCTTTGAGTCTAACCTTCAACCCCCTTCCAGCAACATCTTAGGAAATATCGTTTTGGATGTCGCGCCCACCCGCCGCCGCGCTGCCCCCCCCCGTCAGGATTCATCGCGCTTTGTGCTTGCGCAGCATGCCCGACCCTCTGAGCACCGAGACGCCGCATAATGCGGCGGGATGCGTCTGAGCCTTGAGCCAAAATGGCTTGAGCCAGGCGGCGGCGACGACGACGACGACGACAACGACGACGGACGACGACGACGGGGAAGACGACGACGACGCGCGCCACTGCGTTTGCTCCATCGGCGCGTGCGTGCGTGTGCGTGCGCGCGTGTGCGCGCGTGCTGCGAGGGTCCGCCGTAGTCGACGACGACGACGACAACGGACGACGACGACGACGACGACGACGACGACGACGACGATGACGCGCGCCAGCGCGGATGACCCGTAGGAGGGGGGGGTCGCTGCGAGAGCCCCCAGTAGTCGACGACGAAAACGAATGCGATCACGGCGACGACGACGACGACGACGACGGATGAAGACGACGCGCGGTTGCGGCATTTCATCATTTCAGTAGATGCTGTGTTGGTCGCAAGCGCGATTCTCCACGCGCCGCCGTCCTAGCGGGGGGCGAGGCGGGAACGGAATCACGGCCCAGCGCCGTGCATTCCACGAGCTCGCTGGCCTGGCAGGCGCGGCAGGTTTCGCGCGTCATCTACATCGGCCACGGCTGGCCATTCCCCGAACTCCTCTGCCTGGTAGGGGGGGCAGGGTCCGAAAATTAATCCAACTGTCAGCCGAATTCACTGGCGATGTCCTCCGCCAGGGGCGGCTAGGCGTCGCAATGAACAGCGGCAAAAATGCCTTTCCCCGCGGGGCGCGCCGCCCAACCGGAAGGGGGGGGCTGATGAACTCAACGCTGACTTCCCCGAAACGTGGCCGAGGGGGGCGGGGGGCGCATGTCCAGATTCCCCTCTTCGCCGGAACTCCCGGCGAGGGCCGGCGCCCTTCGGACACCTGAGTACCAGATGCGTTTGTTTTCCTCGCCGTTACGCTTCCGATGGGCCTCGCGGGGCTCCAGGCGACGCCAACGCAGCCCAAGAGACCCCTAATCAACGCCGAACCCCGAGAGGGCCCGACAAAACTCCCAAAAGTCACCCGATCGCGCTCACAGAGAGCCCCCGCGAGGCACGGGTTCGGCCTCGATGGAGAGGGGGGGGCGCGAATTGACGCAGCTATCTGTCGCCCATCCGCGGCTCCCCCAAAAAACCCAAGGGGGCCCCAAGACCCCCCCAAAGGAGCCCCGCGAAGCTCTCCAGAAAACCAAATGAATTCCAGAATGGACCCAAGCTGGCTCCAAGAAGCACCTGGCCAAACCTCCGAGAAGATGGCGGAGCGAAACCTCCGAGAAGGCGCGTCGTTTTCGTCGACGTCTGCGCCGCCGTCTTTTCACTCCCCCCTAATATGATACTGGTTCGTCGTCTTCTATTCCCTTTCATCTTCGCCCCCCTCCCCCCCTCCACCCCCTGCCCCCCCCCAACCGCTCCCCGACCCCGCCTCCTCATTCCCGCGCGCGCCCCTTTCCCCGAAATGGTTCCAGGAGGCTGCTACAAGGCCCCTAAAACAGCTCGAGCTATTCTGCGCATCAGTCCTGGACGCGATGGACGCGATGCTGGATTGGCTCCCCCGTCGCGGGAAGGAGTCGACGTCCCACGCATGCCCATGGGCGGATACCCCTTTACATGCCACTACACCTCCCCAGATCCAATGAACTCGACTGGCGATCGTTCCTGGACGGGCTGGCGGGGATGCGCGAAATGTTAAGACCTCAGCACTGCTCCGCGGCAGAGATTCCGCGACGTCGCGGGCGTGACATTGGGCAAGGCATATTGCTCATTCTTGGTCACGGCCCAGATTGCCCCAACATTGTTGGCTTGGTGGGGCGGGCGGGCTACTCAGTCCGAGTGGGGCTGTACCCGCTTAAATTCCCGATCGCACCTGTACCCCCTTAAATTCCCGATCCCACTTGTACCCCCTTAGTTTCCTGGTCACCTCAACATGGCTGCAATGGCTGCCAGCGTCGGCGCGGCTGGCCTCAACAAAGTCCGTTCCGAGGACCAGGACATGGGGGATGGCTCTGGGGGAGTTCTTGGGCAGAAGAGGGTGCGCTTCCCACGAGCGAAGTTGTTGACTGGGAGTGCGACGCTTCATTTTGAGGCCCCGAGTGTAAGTGATGCCGTTAGTTTTTATCGACCTGTTTTCGGGTGACCCACCCGCCCGTGGGTCACCTTTGTGGCGTTCGCTTCATGTGGGGCACGTGTGGAGTGGGAGTGCATGGCCCCACGCTGAGGCGCTTCATTCGAGTGACACAATTGGTTATTCTCCAACAAGTTTTAGGGTGCCCCACGCGCCCGTGGATCACATGCGTGGTTTTCGCTTCGCCCGGGCAACGCAATGGGTGGGAATGAATCACTTCGTGTTTGGGCCCACAAGACAAGTGAAACATGTTATGCTTTCCTCAGACAGTTTTCGGGTGACACACCCGCCAGTGGGTCACCGACGTGGTGCTTGCGTCATGCGGGGCATGTTTGGAGTGGGAGCGTACCACGTCTTGCTGGGGCCCAGATTACAAGTGAAACGATTTGTTGTACTGAACAAATTTTCGGGTGGCCCACCCGCCCGTGGGCTACCTGCGTGGTGCTTGCTTCATGTGGCAAGCGTGCTGGGCGGGAGCGCATGGTCCCATGATGGGGCCCATAATGCACGTGACACATGCTCCTGGTTCCCAACCAGTGTTCGGGTGACCCACCCGCCCGTGGGTCACTTGCGCGGCGTTTGCTTGATGCGAGAGGCCCAGTGGTTGAGCATGCATCACCTCATGCTGGGGCCCAGGATGCAAGTGACACAAATGGTTTGTGCCAGCCAGTTGCTCGGGTGAGCCATCCGTTCGCGGGTCACCTGCGTGGTGCCTGCGTCACAGGAAGCGTCTTGCACGGGGTCCGTCACTTCACGTTGGGGTCAAGGTTGCAACGGAGACGAGTTTTTTTTTTCTCAACCAGTTGTCGGGTTACCCACCCGTACGTGGGTAACCTGCGTGGTGCTATCTCATGTGGGAAACTCCTGGTTGGGCATGCGTGACCTCATGGTGGGGCCCAGAGTACAAGTGACACAATTGGTTGTTGTCAATCAGATTTCGGGTGAGTCACCCGCCCGTGGGTCACCCGCGTGGCGTTTGCTTCGCACGGGAAGCGCATCGATTTCGAAAACATCACGCCATTGGGAAACGCCCCGATTGAGAATGCCCATGCGACAGCTGGTTGTTTTGAAACATGTTCTGATGACCCACTCACCCGTTGGCCACTTGCTTGGTTGGTGTTTGCGTCACACGGGGAACGTGTTGAGTGGGAATGCGCAACCTCATGGTGATGCCTAGAGTGTAAGTGCCACGGCCGTTTCTGCCCGGCCAGTTTCCGGGTGACCCGCCAGCGTGCGGGTCACCTTGGTGGTGCTGGCTTCGCGCGGGGAGCGCATATATTGAGTGGGAATGCGTCGCCTCGCCTTGGGGCCCAGAATGCAAACGGAACGGTTGGTTTTTCTCCATCAGTTTTCGGGCGACCCGCCCGTCTACGTAATTTGCGCGGTCCTTGCTGCGCGCGGGAAGCGAATTTGATGGGAATGCGGCCCCCACGGTGATACGAATCATGCATGTGAAACGTCGCTGATTTTTCTTAGCCTCTTGTTGGGTGGCCCGCCCGTCTGCGGGTCGTCTGCGCGGCGCCTGCTTGATGCGACCAGCCGTGCTCCGCACAGTAGGGTTGGGACTCTTCTGTACCACCCTTGGGGTTGTCAGTCCTGTTGGGTGTTCTGACATTTCCTACGGAGGTCGTCGCAGCAACCTGTGCTCGAGGCAGGGAGTAGTTGCGCGCTCTCTTCGACGGCACCCGCGACAGACCACCAATGGCGACTGGCGCCAGGGCCTCAGCTGCCGCAATGGCCAAAACTCGCCAGTTAGAGGATGCTTGGTCGAACCACGTTGCCACGGAGAAGCGGCAGGAACTCTTGAACGATTTTGCCGCGATTGTGCAGGAGTTGCAGAGCTGCCCCGACAAAATCCCGAACTGCAGAAAAGCTGTGATGAGTGGGATGTTCCTTCCGAAGCCGCAGGCGCCGCGCAACACTGACGCCAATAGCATTCCTGATTGCGACAAGTGGTGCTTCAAGTTGCCGAAGCATTTCTTTGACTCCCACGGCCCCGCCATGTTCAACATCACAGAGGCTACGATCGCCCTGATGATCAAAGCCGACAGGCAGTCCTTGCATAAGCTTCTGTACAAGTCCACCGGCTGGCATTCCAACACTCGGGTCACCGTTTTCGGCAAGGACGCCATCGCAGACAAGGTGCGCCAGCAGATCGCGCTCATAGGCGCGTCCGTCGGCGAAGACATCCCGGTCGACGGCAGCGGGGTGGTCAATTGGGAAATATTCTCGCCGTACAAGCTTCTCCCAGAATGTCCGTCCGAGGTCGAGCCCGAGGACCATGCGTTCAAACGAATATCTGTGTTCGGGAAATTCGAGGCCGCTCTTCCGAAGTGGCTGACGATCACTGGAGCCTGGGAGTGGTCAAACGCATGGAGTTTGCAGGATTGTGTGGTCAAGCTGCCAATGCCAGCCGTCGCTGGCGAGAAGAAGCGACCGTCCCCCAGCTGCCATTTCTACAACGAGTGCCTCGCCAACCACAAGGAGTTTCAGACGTGGTTCAAGACCTTGCCCAGCACGCTCGGTGACGCGACGGTTTCGACCACCGTGGCCGCTGCCTCCCAGGGCGCCGCTTCCTCGTCGGGGGCTTCGTCCGCTGGCGGGTCTACTGGGGCCATTCTTGAGACGCCCGCCAAGAAGCGCCCGAGGGCTCCAGCTCTACTGGGACTGGCGAGCGTGAGGAAGCAGATGAAGAAGTTAGGTTAGGTAAGCGTTCGGTTGCTTTTTTTCTGGGGCCTCGTGCATCTCAGTGGCGGGTGTGCTGGGATGCCGCGCCGAGTGTCAGCACTCCACGCGCGCATGCTGGGGCCAGTGGGCGCCTGCAGGTTAAGAACGGGATTGGGATTTTCTGGGCCGCTGGATTTGTCCTCAGGGCGAGTTGCAAAACAATATAAAACATTATCATAACCACACGTGCGCCATCAGATTTGCAGCGATGTTCGAGACTCCGCCTGTTGCCGTTGACTCTTTTTTTTTTCCCCCGAACAGCGTAGGCAATCATGGGTTAAGCTTTCTCGCCGTAAACTGGGCCTGTCTGTCGATTTGGCGGCTGTGCTGTCGCAGTTGCCGCCCCGTCTCCGCCTCGTCGCCAACCGTCGTTTGGGCTTGTTTGCCAGTGTGGCGGCTATGTTGTCGCCGTCGCCGCTCCGTGGATTCGTCGTCGCCGTCCGTCGTCAGGGCCTGTGTGCGGCTTTGGCGGCTATGTTGTCGCCGTCGCCGCCCCGTCGCTGCCTCGTCGCCGCCGCGTCGCTTCCCGTCGCCGCCAGGATTGCACAGCATAGATTGCGCCACGTAGATTGCACCACATAAAATTGCACCACATCGGTTGCAAATGTTTTGGACTCGGCTTGATTTCGCGTGGGTCTTGACGTTGATCCGATGTTCTCCCTTTTCCCCAACTTTTGATTCATTCCGGGGAGGCCTCCAGAAAATTATGGCGAAGATATGATGTCTGCCATTTCTGGGCCAAGTTGCTGCGGGGCGGATTTGTTGCAGAATGTTCCGGCGCAGTGCCGCCAGAACGTTCTGAATACACCTTCTGGCGGAGCTTGTACGGAGCATTTCGTCTTCGCGGTCTGCGCGGAGTGCGGCATGCATCGCAACTATATGTTTGGGTACTTGTCCGTGCGATTTTCCCAGGCAGTCTCTTGTGACAGTGATTCCCCGCCTGATGTCATGGTTTTTGCTCTGCATTCGAATTCGACAGCGGAGTCCGTTGGGGGGGGCACGATTTGTCCTCCGAGTGCCGTTCCCGTTCCTGCAATCAGGTGCGATTTTTGTTCTTCGCTGTGAGAGTAAACTTGCGTTTGAGTGAGAGCCAACCGCTTCACCGTCCAAAAGCCTTGGGACGGCAGTGCAGGCCGACATCCGAGCAAAAGACCCAGGCACGGGCTCGGGAATTCGTGCCGCGATATTTGCAACCGCCCTGGCCCAACGTTTCTGATCCACCGCTTCCCCATCCGCCGTTCTTTGCATTCGAGTTCGGGGGTTGCTGCTCCCAGTTGGGGGTTCGGAGGGTCAGATTTGTTGGGGGGCGGTGCTGCAGGGGCTGCCTGGAAGTTCAGCATCTTCAGTCCAAGGGCGCACTTGTGCGCCAATTCGGTGCTTGGGATTCGTTTTCCTGTGTCCGATGTGGAGCGCAGCATATATCCGCAAATCCAACATCTATTCCATATTATGTTGCGCAACATAGGTTGCACCACATATACTGGTCCGCGCTAGTGGGTCCGCACAGGTCGGTTGTACAACATACATTGCGCACCGCGTATATGGTAACACGTAGATTGTACCACGTTCTGTGTACCACATACATTGCATTACATAATTGAACCGCGTATATTGCATCACATGGGCTGCACATTGCACAACGCACGGCTTAGTTTGCACCGCACAGCTTGCACCGCATAGATTGTGCCACGTCGAATGGTTTACGTGTATCGTATAATTTGTATTGCACCTCGTACGTGTAACCACGTATTCTGCACATTCTTGATTGCACGATCCAGATTGCACCACATATATTGTTCCACAGAGAAGAAAACATCGGTATAACACACATACTTGTAAATTGTATGCTATATTTATGCGACGGCACAACAGAGAAGCCAGCTTTCACCAGACACTCAAGTACATCCACCGTGAGGAACCTACGGGCGGCAGGCGACACCGTTGATGTCAAAGTATTTGCAAGTAGCAAGTACACCTTGATACGTCAAACACATCAGTATATATTTCTGTTGTTTCACCTGCAAACTCGGCAACGACATGCAAAACGAAGACCTGTTCAAGGACTCCCTTACAATCCTTCAAAACACAAGCAGTGTGCAAAGTTCCCGCTGCCGTGTGCTCCACGGGAAGATTGCTGGACAATGGGCGGGAACCCCCGCTACTTTACAACGCACAGGCAGCGTGCAAAGTTCCCGCTGCCCTGCGCTCCTCGGGAAGATAGCTGGACTCTGGGCTGAACTGGAGAACTCCCCCGAATACCATTGAGCTGTACTGGTGAGCTGGTGCACTGAACATAAGAGAACGATATAATACAAAACATCATGGGAACGCTTCCGAGCAGTCGTTACTTTCTAATTCTAACAGCTCCATAAAGCTATCGTGGAGGTGCTTCGCATCTACCGCCAGAGCGGACGACCGATCCGCATTGGCCTTCACCTGCCGCAAACCGTGCAAGACAGCCCCAACGAACCACGCTCGAAGACAAACTGACCAGCATTCCAAAACCGAAGCTCCCGATTATCTTCCGAGCAGACCTGGTCGCTCCCATCTCTCTTCGAGGCGTCCGGAATGGACGCGCATCAGAAAAGGTGGCGATGGTGGCACGGACGCATTCCTTGGTGGTCCAAACACATCATCCGAATGAACTGGCCCGCAGTGTTTTCCGCGGCTTTGCCGTTCCGCCGATGCACTGGGGATTGGGCGCCTTTGGAGCGGCCGCGGTCCGGGAGGTTTGGGCGGGCCCGCGGTTGGCACGGAAACGCCCGTGAACTTTGGCTCGGGCCGTTCCGGGGCCTTTTGAAGGCCCTTTCGTGGCTTGCAGGAGGTCTCTGAATGGCCCTGGGAAGCGTCTTGGAAGACCTTGGGGTCTCTTCGTGGTTCGCTGGGGCCTTGGCGGCGGCCGAGGCGCGAACGGCGCCCAGAGGCAGTTCCTCTGTCCCCTCTCTTGGGCCACCCTCCGCCGTTCTCTTGAAGATAATGTGGGCTTGTATCGGGCCCAGAATTCTCATTGGGGGGAAGATCTATTTGTTCTGAATGCGCTGGCCCCCGCTCCGCGGGCATCGGTTCTCCGCTCAGGAAAGCCGTGGGGTCAAAATCGCGGGGAGGCATTGGCGAGCACTGCTGGCCCCGCGCCCTTCCGATGCCGTATTTTCAAGGAGATCACGGCGGCCACGCCTTGCGTGTTATTGATTCTCGTTTGGTTGGCAAGCCCGCCGAAGAATCAGAACCGCACCTCCGAGCATACCATTAAGAACATGTTGATGTGGCGTGGTTTCCTGGGTGACTTCCTGGGCGCTCTTTGTCCAGAGTCGTACACCATCCATCTGCACAGCGACAGGGCCGTAGCTCTGGGCACGCAGCTCCCAGCGCCGAGGTCATGCAGCATCGACTTGCGAGTCCAGGACGGGGTTATCGACATCAGATCTTTGTCCACGGCTCGACCGCGGATTTTCCACGACCTCGGTCGGCTCTGTAACAATGAGGACGAGCTGCCGTTGCCCGATTTTCTCCAGGAGCTGCACGGCGGCGGGTTCGCGCGCTCGCACTGGCTCCGCCAGGTTCTCGAGCAGGTGGCCCTCGAGATGGAACAGCGCCTCGCGGTTGCCTCGGCGCCCGGCGGCGCCGCCAATCCTGGCGGCGTCGGACAGGCGGCCTTGCTGCAAATGAGCACGATGAAAACGTTGAAGAAATCCTATGCGCTTCGCGCGCCCGCGCTAGCCCATCCAGACACGATGCCCAGCGGAACTGCCGCGAACTGGCGACATTTGTATCATTACAAAGTCTCGGGGACCTGTGTGGGCCACAGGCCTCTTGGGTGCTCCCTGGATATATTGATGTGTTTCCTTGAGGCCTCTTGGGCGTCTCTCGGGGCGTCTTCGGGGCCTTGTGGTGGCTCGTGGCGGCGTCTCGGGGTGTCGTCTGGGCTCGCCGGGGGCCTCTCGTAGTCCTGCTGGGAGTTTGTTGGGCGCCTCGTGGGTTTTCTTTGCAGGGTCTCGTGGGGCATCTTGGCGGCTTTTTTGCGCGCTACAGGGGCTCTCCAGGGAGGTTTCAGGTCGTCCCTGAGCCGTCTGGAAGGGCAACGGTTAGAAAAGGGAACGACCGCAATCATTTCTGCCCCCCACAGGAGGGCACACTTGGCCCGACACCTTGAGATCGTAAGTGGCTGTTGTTCCCGAGCCAAAACAATTGTGGAGCCTCGAAGTGCTGGCCCCGCCCCCTTTTTTCAGACCCAGTCGTTAGGCGGCGGATGGAGGGCATGGCTTTTCTCCGACAGGGAAGAAGGTGGAAGATGGAACCGCAAACGATCAAAACCACCTCAGCCCAGCTGAGGTGGGAGGATTTCGGTACTCTTGGTTGCAGAAGGCAGGGCAGTCGGTCGTTGGCCGAGCGTGCGCCCAGTATTGGACCATGGCCATCCAAGTGTTGCACAACGTTGGCAGCATGGGCGTCAGCATGGACGCTACGAGAGTAGCCAAGAGAGCGACGATGGCGTCTTTCTTTACCTTGCCGAACGGCCGGGCCATGTGGTTCCCCCCTGTGGTCTATGGGGGATCGGAATACACAGCGCCATATGCCAGCTTGGGCGGGGGATTGATTCTGGACGCTGCACACGTATCCAGACGTCGTGGCCTTGGGAGCGCGGGCGCACTCAGCTTCATATGATTGTTTGGCCGTGGGAACAGGGCCGCGGAGCATTGTGCAATGGGTTGTGGCTGTGGGGGCGCGCGCGCAGCGCTTTTGAGAGAGGGATGGCGGCCTTGCGAGCGCGGGTCTTCGGGCGGTTTGCCCGGGATCGTGGCCCAGAGCAGCGACCCCGCGGTAAATTGTGCGAGGTCGCTGCCCTCGGAACGCGGATCCCAGCGCAAGCCTCGTAGGGTCGCGGCGCCAGGGGTGCACGTCGAAGAAACGTCACGTGGGATACCGGCCCTGGGGGTGCGCATGTGGTTTCACGTGCACGGGGTCGCGGCCGTGGGATCCCAGGCGCGACGGTTTTGAGATGTGATCGGTGGCTTTGACTTCAGCCCCAACGAATTTACAACGGATCGCGCCCCTGGGAGCTCGGACGCATGGCGTTGGATGCGAGGCGACGGCATCAACGGGGCAAGAAACGGACAAGGTAATGCAATTGGGGGAGCGGGTCGCTTTCGGAAGGGTCGCCCAGAAATCTTTGAATTCATGGCGCGCCTCGCGGGAAAATGCTTGCGGGACACGTGCTCGGATCGACGCGGCGCGGGTGCGTGCCTGTCAGTCCGCGGCGGGCACGTTGGCACTGGTTCGGTGCACTTGGCATTGTACCAAATTTTTCCGGTATAGTACCAAATTTTTTCGGTATTATACCAAACTTTTCCGGTACGATACCAAGTGTCTTTCGCGGTTGGCCCCGCGTGTAAAATATCGATGAGCCGTGGAGTTTGGTACAATACCAAATGCGTTTGGTACAATACCAAAGTTTTCCGGTATTGTACCAAGTTTTTCCGGTATCGTACCACATTTTTTTGGTACTATACCAAGTTTTCCCGGTAAGATACCAAATTTTTCCGGCATTGTACCAAGGTCCGTTTCCCGTTGTGTCCGGGGAACCTCGGGATTGGCCCCGCGAGTTGGCACGTCGGGTGCGGTTCCGTAAGTTCGTGGGTTTTTGAGTAGCGTAGCATTGCGCTGCAGAGAAATACCAGGTTTTCGACGCGCCTGTTGGGTTTGGCCCAGTTGCCCGTTTTTCGCCGTTGGGTCCTCGTCGGGGCCTCCCGAGATCGGGCGCAGGAGTTGTGTTGGGGTTCGGTTGGGCGTCGGGGTTCTATATTGGGCAGTTGTCTGGCGCGCCTGGGTCTGACATGCGTGCAGCCTTCCCATTAGCCACCAGGTCCTCGGTGACCTGGACGATGCCGTTGCTTCCGCCGTCCAGGACATGGACGCCCCAGCTCTGGAGCAGGCTAAACAGGAATGGAGTGTCATGGCAGCCGATCATTGGAGAGCGTTGGCTGGGCAGGATCCCGTCGAACAGAAACGCGTTGTATGGTATCGGAAGAAGGCGTTCAAGTGGCTTCTGGCGTTGGACCACGTGCTGAAAATGTACCGCGTGCCCCTCCGACAGTATTTTCAGCCCAAACTTCCTGGCCGACCCCCGCCGCAGGAATGGCCAACGCTCACGGTGGCAATCGACCAGGGATCGGACGGCTGGTGCGCCACAAATTTTCTATTGCACTCTATGTCTGCGTGTTTGCTCGTGCTGCCAGACCCCAGCCACCGCGTTTGGAACGACTGTCAATTGGCAATGCGTGATGCTGATTTGTGGTCGTCGGTGCGGATCCTTACAGTAGTCTTCAATTTGGACCACGGCCCTTGGGCAGATGCCAGGCAGGATGGGTTTAACAAATCGTTCGGAACCTCGGTCAGCTGACCCGCGTCTCGTTGTGGGCCCCAAGGAGGGGCAGCGTTTGCCGCGGAGGGATCGGGCGATCTCCCCCGCCGGCCGTTCCCAACAAATTGCCTGAGCAACCTCTCCCCGTAACCTACCCCAGCAGCCTTCCCCTAGCAATCAGGGGCCGCCCCTAGCTCGCCGTAGCGTCTCCGAGCGACCCCCCCCCAGCGGCGGCCATGCCTATCCTGTAGGGGGGCGCGCCGTGCCCGAGGTGCAAGGGCCACCGTGCGCGCGGCGGTCATTTGCCCATTCCGCGTAAAAACTATGCGCGCGAAGGGCTGGGGCCACCGCGCCTGCGGCGGCATTGACGCACTCGGCATCGGAAAGTATTCCGCCCACGGGGCCAAGGCCGCCGCGCCCTAGGCGATTTTGTTCCATTTCGCATGGGAAGCGCCACGCGTGAAGGACCAAGGCCGCCGCGCGCGAGGCGGCCCTGGCCCAGTCGGCGTGGACAAGCAGAAACACGCTCGACCGGCTTGGGCTGCCGCGCTCTCGGCGGCGTTGGACCATGGGGAATGGAACAGTGTTCGCCGTCGTGGTTTTCTCAGCAGTATGTTGCTGGCAATCTATAGCGCACAATCAAGATCATGCAACCTATGTTGTGTTATCTACGTAGTGCAATTTAGTTATGTAGTGCAAGTTACGTGTTGGTATCTACGCTGGCTCACGCACGTTGCTGAACTCACTTGTTGCCCAATATGTTGCCGATGCATGCGGCGCACATATTCGTTCCGATCGACAAAAGACGCGCCGCAGGCGCGAACTATTCATCGCGCAATCTACGTGGTCCAATAAATGTGGGACCGCTTCCGCGGTGGACTCCATATGTGGTGCAAGCCATGCGGTGCAACCTGTGTGGTGCAACCTATGTTTTGCAGTATATGTTGGGCAGCCTTTGTGGTTGTGCAGAATGTGTTTACAGTCTGTGTGGTGCCATCCACGCTGTGAAATGTATATTGCGCTATATGTTATGTTGTGCAATATTTGTTGTGCCTCTCACGTAATGTTATCTGAACTGAGCTTGCCGTGGACAATGCTACACATGGCCAGCCCGTAGAGAGCGCGGCCCGCAAAAACAAACAACACGCACATGTGGCAACGCACATACAACACACATACCATCAGCCGAACACCCCACGCAGTGGCCATACCAGAAAATATGTCATATAGTGAACACTCGACGTTTGCCATCCCATGCAGTAGGCAATGCTGAGAGCATCCTGCATGCCCACCGTTTCAGACAATAGCCATTGTACAGAACATCCAGCAAACCAACCTTACCATTGAATGGGCAATAGACAAAGCTTGGGGGGGCGGGCCAAAACAACTCTGCGGGTATGGGGGCAACAAAAACCGAGGTTAGTTAAACCTACGCGCGTTTTCCAGCTCGCGGAAGACGTCGTGGTTCCGCGGGCGTGAGGCAGGGTTTTTGGGTGCCTCGTGCCCCGCGCCTGCGGGTCCGCGTTTGGCGGTGCCGCGCGCCCGGAGCGAAAGGGATTTGCGTTGTCAGTTCTTTGACGCCGTAGGCTGCCAGGGAGTCGGTGCCGTGCCCTCGTCGTTTCGTTTTGCCCGAGGTTTCCGATTTGGCACCCAACGTGACATTGTTCCCCAGGTTTCCCTTAACAGGATGGTGTCTCAAACGTTTTGGGGTTATTCGCGTCCGGCCCCTCCCCCCCAGGTGGTTCCAGATGTGCAAGGAAGCAGTTGCTTCGTACCTGGCTGTTGCGACTCCTGATACGTGTCCTTTGTGGCAGGCTTTATTCGCAAAAATATGCAACGCTTCGCGTCCGCCCTGTCCTGGATGGGCACGCCAGGAACCCCGGGACTCTCGGCGTGTTTGTCCCTGAACAGTGCTTGCAACGAAGGGGTCGAGATCTTTTGTGCCCCCGAACCGCCCCTGGCGAACTCCCTAGGATACCCCTTTTGCTCATTTTGAACGCATCCATATTGCAGCCGGCGCGCCTCGCGGGAAAACGTGCCATCAGATTTGTCAATGCCCACCCTCCTTGCGCGGGGCCTGAAAATTGTGGAACACGCGCTGGCGATGATCAGCAGCAGTGTTCTCGACGCCCGCCTTCCATTTTCGGGCCAACGAAGATGAGGAATGCGGCTTGCGCAGAACATCATATTTCCGCACCCGCCCACTCGCCAACCGGCCCCCCCCCACGCGGCATCCCCAGATTCGTTAGTGAATACTCGTCGTCGCCGCTGTCGTCGGTCGTCGTCGTCGTCGCCAGGCAATGCGTACCCTCCCCACCCCCCATGGAGCATCCGCAATTGGTCGTCGTCTTTGTCGTCGTCGTCGTCGTTTATCGGCGTTCGTCGTCGTTCGTTGTCGTCGTCCCCGGGCCTATCGCTGCACCCCCCTCCACCCTTCCGTGGGGCATCCGCAATTCGTCGTCGTCTTTGTCGTCGTCGCCGCCGCCGTCGTCGTCGTCGTCGTTGTTCGTCGCGGCCCCAGAGGCTCCCCTTGGGCGGAAATTGAAAACTCAGTTCGAATTCCCATTTTCTCGGGCCCCATTGGGGCGATCGCGGTGTCATTTGGGCCATCTTGGACGTCGTAGAGCCCAAAAGCCGAACGCGCATGCTAAACGCACTTGTTTCCCATTCTGTTCCTAAGGGCGCGGGGCGGATGATGATTTTTGGGCTCTTGTGGGTGTGTTTTCGGGGCCGTCCTGCGGCGGTTTGGCGGCCTCTTGGGCCGTCTGGAGACGATTGTGAGCGCGTTGGAGCGACTCGTCGCACTTCGGAACTCCGCATGAACAGTATTCGGCGTGTCTTGGGGCCCTCGCGGCCCGGTCGGGGGTCTTTTGAATCAGAAATAGGCGCGCGACCAGCCGCGACGCGCCTTGGCAACCGCGCGGGGAGGGCCCGAGGGATTTGGAGATTTGAGCTTCGGGCAAATTGCACAGGGGAGCCCGCGCGGATTAAAGGATTTATATTGCATTGCATTTGGGACAGGGAGATCTGTGCATATTCGACAGAGCGTTCTGCATTGTCTGGAACGTGCGAGTCGCCATGTTCCCCCTTGAAACTCAAGTGAACACAGAACTGCGACCGATTGGACTCCCAATTTCAAAAGTGGTTAAGTTTAATATTTCTTGC